TGCAGCGTAGGGCCACAAGGTTGGTGGCCGGTTTGCAGGGGATGCCGTATGAGGCGAGACTGAGGGAACTGGGTCTCTTCAGCCTGGAGAAGAGGAGACTCAGAGGGGATATGTTGGCGACATACAGGTATGTGAGGGGATGTCACATGGAGATGGGTAGAGACCTGTTCTCCCCTGCAGAGGAAGGCAGGACACGCTCCAATGGAGCAAAGCTCAGGGAGCCAAGGTTCAGTTTGGATGCCAGGAAGGACTTCCTGACAGTCAGGACCCCAAGGATGTGGAATGGGCTTCCACGAGAGGTCACTGAGACCCCATCGGTGCGGGTGTTCAAGGATAGGCTGGACCTCCACATGGTGGGCATGTCGTGAGCGGAGCCAGCTGGTGCTGGAGGTCAGACTAGATGGCCCGGGAGACCTCTTCTAACTTGCTCTGTTTCTGTGTTTCTATGTATGTTTCTATGATGTTTTCTTTGTTTAAACTTTAGTTTCTAATTTTTTAATAATACAACCTATAAAATGGACAGTTATAATTCCAGTCTTCTTTGGATTGTGCATGCATTCTTAGCCTCTTAAAGGCACTTGCAAAAAAAGTTCCCAATTTGGAAATGCTAAAGCACCCATTGTTGGTTTATCCTGAAATAAAGCCATTTCAAATGTTTCCTGTTCCTCATTAAAAAAAAAATCTATAACTAGTAATTACCCATTTTTTAACTGAGAAGCTCCTGTTTATATTGATAAAGTATTCAAAAAGTAAATTCAATTGTTGCAAGATCATCATCTTGACTAAAGAAATAAATTTCTTTGGTTTGGACATATAGAAATCAAATATTTGTTTTTGTAAAAACATTCATTTTCTTTTTAGATGACACCTAGACATTATATTAACTTCTTTCATAGCCAGAATCAAGATCTTTTTGAGTTTACACCACTTCTACATGAAAATATATTGTTTCTGTTTTGTTCTTGTTGATTTTAAGGCTTGCAAGAAGACAGTATCAAAATGAGACTCTTCTCCAGCTATGGATAGAATTTTCTGGTTTTGCTATTATTGTGATATTATTAAGAAAATGTCATCTGTTTATGAACTATGTTTATGTGTGTGGTTCATTTGATTTCTACATCTTTTACTTAAGCAGCATTTCCTATTATAAAGATTCTAAAAGAGAAGAAATAATAAAACTGTGTTGGGCCATTTTTGTCTAGTTCTTGTACGCAGATAGAATGAATATGACATGTAGCCATTAGTATTATCCTTGCAACTGGGCTGTTATAAATATCTTTAATCAAAGTAAGTAAATTTTCTACAAAGTGAAAAGCCTTTAATGTTTTGAAATGGAAAGACCATTTGATATTATCAAAAGCACTTCCGGCATCAAACATTAATAAAGTCTCTGATCTGAATGATTGTGCATGATTTTCCATGCAGTAACCGTCAAATATGTGTTTGATATTGATAATGTTTATCACCTTTTCTACTTTTGGAGTATTGTCTATTATTGTCCAATCTGTAAAACTATCATTCTTCTTTCCAGTGGTACAGTTGGATAATTTTAGATCCTGGTTTTCATTAAACCTTCTCCACTGTTTTGGTGGTAATGTGCATTGTCTTGCTGGCTTCAAAATGTGTTTCGCTAGCCTTGCAGCATTTGGCAGCCCTTCCACTCATTCTGCTGAGTGAGGCCCTGGTCATCCATCCTCAAATACTCTGATAGCACCGCTGCTTCCCTCAAAATAGTTTAAATTCTTCCAACTTCATATTTCTACACTTACTCTTTCCTGCTTTTTAGAACTTCTGCTTTCTGGTTTTGATATATATTGGTTTATAGTCTTTTGCCTATAAAGGCTTTTTCCCTGTTTAACATCAGACATTTTTAAGAAAGGTAGTACAGGAAGCAATCCTCTGCATGTTTAAATGGGAGGAATGTCCATACTGGCTGGCGAATGCTTGGAATTGTAGGACTTTTTCTATCTAAATAGGTGCCCTTAACCCAAAAGCAAATACCTTGCGCTTTCCTGCTCCACCGATATTACACTTCCATTTGGAATCAAACATTGCCCTTTGGCATTGGGCACCCTTTACCCACCACCAGCTATTCTACTGAGGTCCGATAGCTACTATAAACTTAGGTCTAATTGCTGTTATTATGCAATTGCCCAAGGGAAAATAGTACACTATAAACACATTGGCAGACATTACACAGGAAATTTACTAATTTACCGTTAGCTCAGGACCAGCTATTTCACTGTTTATTCACAAACCACTCGGCACTCTGATAATGCAATGCCTGCCAGTTGCAGCAAAGTATGTAACAAACTCAAGTAACTGCATTCTGTTTACTATTCAGTGCAAAAGATAATGCTGCACCCTAATTCACAGTTTCAGCAGATTTAATTCAGAGAAAGGTCTTGTATTGCTTTATTGGAAAAGCTGAAATTCAGTGATTTAATAAGATTAATTGTACAATTCTATGCAGATTTAGTCAAAAGTAAGTACAACTGTGTTCGTGGGATTTAATTCCACATATTTATGCACTGGTTCCATCATTCTACTAGTTTGCTCTTCCTTCCAGGCTCTTTCCATTGTCTGTAAGCAGGCAATTTACTTTCCACACCCCTCAGTTATGTTGTTAATTGGTTTAATGGGGAAAGAGTTAATTTTGTCCCACCTTCATTTCAAAGTTTAAACATCTCTGCAAAGTCCACCTCATCTCTGGTTCTGAGCTGCAAACATTCACTGTTCACTTGGCTTGATAGCCACATTATTATGGAAGTAAAGCAGAGGTTTCCTTCTGTCAGGAGCTGATGTTTCTATTTGTCCAGCTCTGCACCAGGGTTGGTGGAAGCAGATGCAGATCCCTGCCAGTGCTTGGCGAAGGCAAATTAATAGCCTTTGACAGCTTTTGCAATGCTGTCTCCCCAGCCTGTCACCACCTTATCATGTCTTTATTGCCTCATCCAGGAATGAAAAATGATGATGGAATGATGGGAGGAAGTTTTCTGGTGCTGAGGAATATGATTTGAGCACTCTGCTGATGGGTTGACATGCAGTGCCATCATTGCCACACTTTGGCTACTCAGGAGATCTTACCTTGTCAGTCTTCTGAAGTATTTAATGATCATAGCTCATTTTTACCCAAGAGCCTGAAAAAAAATGGCTAGGTGATAAATTGCAGTTAAGACAAGTGCATACCACTGGTTCACCCTATCAAATCCCCTGCCCAAAGTTGATTCATGGTGTTTACTATACTACTATAATACAAATGGCTGTGTGAAAGTGAGCAAGGAATCATCTGCAGAATTTTAATTAGTTAGCTCCTGTTGGTCTTACCTGTTCTTCTGCCTTACAGATGTGGACCCCCTCATCCTGACACTGTCTGTCATTCTGCTGTTGATTATTCTGCTCTTGGCATTCATCATCCTGATGTCTAACCGCAGGTACTTCTCAGACAGCTCTGGGACACCATTGTTGTTGTTCTGCATTGGCTTCAAATGGTTGTCTTCCCTTACCTCTCCTTACACCTAGACCATGGTGATCAGAGTTGGAGATGCTGTAAGAGCATTTCCTACCTCAACACTTAGACCTACATGGAAACAGCCTAGATGGCCTTCAACCTATATCAAGTTCTTGAGATGATGTGGTGGCAGGGAGGGTATTGTCCATGTGTGTTTACCTATGCCAACTATTCTCACTCTAGTCTGCACACCTTTTCTACCTTCCACTAGATTTTTGAAGAAGAAGATTTGGCCTGTGATCCCCACTCCAGAGCATGAATTCAGGGACCTCTTCACCATCTACAAGGGCAACTTTCAGGTACTGCACCAGTTCCTGCCCTTCCTCATCTCCTCTGTATGCAGTTATTTCTCAGGGTTCCTATAGAAGTGCAATGGCAGAGCCGTGAGTGATGGATGGTGGTGATGGAGGTCTTAAGTGGCATCCTTGAGCCTTGATTATCCTAGTTAAAATGGAAAACCAAGAAATGCTTTCTGGAGATTTTTGTGCAAGAGGGTTAGCTTTGGATAGCTAGGCAGTAGACTTGTTCCACGGGGATTTCTGAAGCTAAGAAGAGCATTCCCTACAGCACTGGACTGGCAAAAACCGAGGTAGCCATGTGCACTTGTAGCGTCTCCATTCACTCTGCCTTACCCTGATGGTCCTTTAGAGCAGCCTTCCCAACCTGCTGTCCTCCAGAAGTTTTTGACTTCTGCTCCCACAGACAGGAAATGCTGTGAACTGTCCCAAACCTATGGAGCTGTCACCAAGTTAGGAAGTCTGAATTAAAGCATTCATGTGCAAGCATTTATGTGCACACGCAGTTACAGTCAAGATGTGTTCCCCACTACACGTAGACTCACATTTGATTTATAGAGATTTGAAGAATCTGGAATGCTTACCAAATTTCTAAATTACGCTTCCCCAAAACGATGCCCTTGCGTGTTCCTTGGACAACTCCTATCATCCCTGTTGTGCTGACTGAGCCTGACAGAATTTGTCATCCCCAACATCTGGAGGAGATGTTGAATAAGGCTGCATTAAAAACTATTTGCTTTGGGACATTCCACTGTGCCTGGCTAATAGAAACCTTTGCAGTGCATGGAAGGTTTTGTATCATATGAAATTAGAGTGACTGAAACAAGGCTCACACAATCACAGGAAATAAAGCCACCATCCCCAGCTCATGCCCTCGACATGCAGTAGTCCACAACTCTCATCATCCTTGGCCATGCTGGCTAGGAATAATTGGCATTCTAGCCTGGAAGGCACCAGCTGATCTGCAGAATCTTAAACTTCTAAACTGCCAGCAGGAATGGTTGCTAACAGCTATTAGCCAGTTTCAGCAAATTTGAGACAGCCTAAAGGCAGAGCTAAATCATGGAAGATGAGGGCTCTTAACAGGCCTGAAGAAGTAGCACCCTCTGTGGTGAGACCAGCTGTGTGACAAGAGCAGTTGGTGGTGGTAGGTGGTGGAATGAGCCCACCAGAAATGCTAGGGTGGGACTTCTAAAAGCTCTGCTGTGGTTCCAACCTCCAAACTTTTTGAGAATTGTACAAAGAGGGTTAAAATGAGGGAGGGGAACAAGAGGGAAACATGCTTGTACTGACAGAAGGTAGGTTGTGGAGGGGCAGTCATAGCTCACCTCCCATACCTTGAAATGGATGTTTCCCTTTATTTGCAGTTATGGATGGGGCACCAGAGTGCCTACTTGTGGTGGAGCCAGAGCCCTACCTACCTGGAGGAGCAGCCATTCCTGGTGGAACTACTGTCCGAGTGTGATGGCTACAAAGTGGATGGTCTCCCTCCTCCTCCTCCTCCTCTTCCCCCCAAGATCCGCACTGTGGTAGAGCAGCTCCCCGAGACTGCAGAGCTCTCCCAGGATGATTACCTGGTACTAGATGAGGGCTTGGCACCCTGCTGCTCTGGAGGGGATGGTTCCCTGCTCTTGACAGACAGTGAGAGCAATGAGGTCACAGACCTGGCCCTTCCTGGAGGAGCAGGCATTTCAGAGCCCAGCCAAGCATCTTCTAGCTTTGAGTACACTGTATTTGACCCCAGCTCAGAGAGCCTCTCCCCACAGCACCCCCATGCAGAGTCCCAGCTCAAGAGCAGCTATCAGATGGTGTCCGACTCTGGGATCTCTGCCGACTACAGCCTCGGGGACTCCAGTGCTGAACAGATGGGCCGGTACACCAACCTCTGTGATGGAGGAGGAACACAGCCCTTTGTACCCACCTACATCATCTGCTCATAACAGCAGTGAGCATGGAACCCAGACGCACTGAGGCAGCAAGAGACTAGCCTGAGAGGCTGGCACCTTCTTCTTTTCCTGGGTTTAGCAGAACTCCAGGGGAAGTGAGCAAAAAATGTTAAGGGCCACCTCAAGAGCTCCAGCTGGCCCAGTACCACTCCTGTGGAAGGAAAAGACATTTGCGGAAAGGCTGGAGAGACAACTTTGAATAGACAGAGGGCCTGTTTGCTTCTAGGCTATCTTTCAACAGGGAGTTGCTAAAAGTGCTGCAGTACCATCACCTTGTTTATTCTACACAGTGGACCATTGCTACCTGAGACAAGATATTCTCTGCACTGGCACCATGGCCCAGCAACTTCCCGGTTGGCAACAGGCTCAAAACCAGCCTGGAGAGAACTGCTCTTTCCTGCTACCAGCCCAGCTCTCCACATGGTGTAACACCCAAGTGGACAAGGAACACTACTTTTCCTACTATGCTTTTGGGGCAAATTTGCCCAGTATCATCATCACTTATCTTTACAAAATCCACTTTCATGATCTATATGAAATATATATAGGAACAACTCTCTTAAATGTATGAGCTGGGTTTGAGGCCTTTGCAGAACTTCTCCCAGCTTTAGAAAGGGAGTGGCATCCAGGGGTTAGAACCTGGGAGAAAGCCGGAATTCACATAGTCTTTGTTCTCCTACAATTTAGTGTGTGATCTTCACCTCCCAATCTATAAAATGGAGATAAAAAACTGACTGAAAAGCTAAGGCTCTTTCTGCTTGAATAAGCATTCAAAGGAAAGCACTGGTAATTTGATCACTAAATAATTTCTTAGATTTCCTGCCATTTACTGTCAATGGAGGGAACTGAATATGGGTAGCTCAGGATTACTGTTATTTGTCCACTCATGGATGATTTGTGATGGATTTTACTTGTATCTGAAGTATGAACTGTCCTTCAAAGGCATGGGTGAACATGATGCTGTGATGAAATCCTAGATGTTCCAGCACTGGGACTATCACTTCACTTTCACAAACATCACTAGATTGTATCATTTTGTAAGTATGTATATAGATGAAATATATTTTAATACTTCAAGGATTTTTAAAAAACAAATTAAAAAAAACTTAAGCCATTGCGCATTTTAAGACTCACTTGTGTTGAGTGCTGAGGTCACTAAAATGTGGTAGATATTCATGCTGATGCTTTAGCAACTGTGTCTGCACAAAACATTGAGTCATAATTCCTCCGAAGCCAAGCTGATTGTGCAGAAGCCAAGCATGCTGGTGCATTAGCACCTCTGATGAATAGCTAAACTAATAAAGAGCTTACCATGGTGGAGAAACCTTGAAAATACAGAACCTGATTTGTTACTCCTCTACCAAGCCAGAATCCAGAAGCTACCTTTGGATCCTAGCATTAACTTGTCTCATTAAAGCAACAAGAAGCCAGGATCTGGACAGATGACACTTTTCTGCCCTGGTAAGTCCCTGGTCAGCTGAGCCACTCCTATTGGATCCAGATGTATACCCTCATGCTTGCTTAAGAACACTAAGTCAGGAGTCTAAGGAGTTCGGGTTTAACATTTTGTGCAAATGTGGTTGTCTCCTCAAATTCTCTCCTAATGCTGACAGTGCAGAACTCTCCCCATTCCTAGATGGGATACTTCCTTTGCCCCACTGGACACATCATGACCTATTTGTACATCATGACCATGGTTTAACATATGCATCACTATGTGTTATATTATTATTACTATTATTATTATTATTATTATTATTATTATTATTATTATTATTATTATAGCATTTCTATGCCGCCCCTTGCCGAAACCTCGGGGCGGCTTACAACATGATAAAATACATTGAAATACAATAGTACATAATAAATTACCATTAAATATAAAAATACAAAAAATACATTGATTTACAAAAATAAAATTAAAATTATCAGTATAAAATAAAAATATAGGAGGAGAAAGAGAAGGAAGAAGAAGTTGCCCTGGCCAGATCATATGTTTTAACAATTGAAATGATGTTACACACATGCATAACATAGCATGCTTGCATTTGCATGCTATGACAACCCACAGCACACAAACATCATAGGTTACATGTTTAAGGTGGCAGTCAGCACACAGCAAAAGCCACACAGTCAATGGTACCTCAGCATGACAGGCAAACCAATGTTCAGAATAGAAACAGGGCGACTGAGAAGAGGCCTACCAGACCATCCAGTCTGACCCCTGGCTCTAGCTGACTCCACTCACGACATGCCTACCATATGCATGTCTAGCCTATCCTTGAACATCCTCACTGATGGGGCCTCAACCACCTCCTGTGAAGGCCATTCCATACCCTCGGGGTACTAACTATCAGGAAGTACTTCCTGGAATCTAAATTGAACCTTGGTTCCTGGAGCTTGGCTCCACTGGAGCATGTCCTGCCTTCCTCTGCAGAGGAGAACAGGTCTCTACCCACCTCCGTGTGATACCCCCTCACATACCTGTATGTTGCCAACAGATCCCCTCTGAGTCTCCTCCAGGCTGAAAAAAATCAGTTCCTTCAGTCTCACCTCATATGGCATCCCCTGCAATCCGGCCACCAACCTCGTGGTCCTATGCTACACTGACTCTAACCTGGCTATATCCTTCCTGTAATGTAGAACCCAGAACTGAACACAATACTCCAGCTGCGGGTGCACCAGAGTCATATAGAGTGGTAGCAATACCTCTCTTGATCTAGGAGCCACGCTTCTGGCTATTCAACCAAGGGTGGCGTTCGCCCTCTTGACCACCGCATCACACTGCAGACTCATGTTTAGCCTGCAGTCAACCAGCACCCCGAGGTCCCTTTCACAAGTGTTGCTCTCCAGCCACTTGTCCCCTAACCTGTTCTTATGACACCCTTTCCTATGCCCCAAGTGCAAGACCTTGCACTTATCCACATTGAATGCCATCCTGTTGTCTCCTGCCCACTTCCATAGTCTGTCCAGATCCTTCTGGATCTGGAGTACCTGCCCCTCAGTTGTGGTCACTGCCCCGGTTTTAGTATCGTCTGCAAATTTGATCAGCAGACTGGTCATCCCTTCTTTCATGCCATTGATGAAAAGACTGAACAGGATCAGCCCCAGGATCCCACTTGTCACTGGCTGCCATCCTGATGATTCCCCGCTAATGCTTACCTTCTGCTTTCGGTCAGTCAACCATGCCTTATCCATCGGACAGTGCATTTCTCAACCAGGATATCATGCAGCACTTTGTCAAAGGCCTTGCTGAAATCCAGGTAAACCACATCCACCGCATCCATCTGTCTAGCCACCTGGGAACCTTGTCATAGAATTCCACAAGGTTTGTCTGGCAGGACCTGTTATTGCAGAAACCGTGTTGTGTGGCCACCAGCCTCCCTTCCCTATCTAGCATGACTAGATCTCGCTCTATTATGAGTCTTTCCATTGTTTTTCCTACAATGGACGTAAGGCTAACTGGTCTGTAATTCCCCATGTCCGTTCTACTACCCTTTTTGAAAATTGGGACCACTGACGCCACACTCCAGTCCTCTGGAACTTTACCCGTTCTCCATGAGGTCTCAAAAATGGAGGCCAGTGGGCATGAGAGAGAATACTTGTCCCCAAAAATGGAGATTACTTGTTTCCCCTTCCTCTTGCTATTTACATGGTGGCAGAAGCCCTTTTTGTTGCTCTTTATATTCTTGGCAAGTCTCAGCTTGTAATCAGCCTTAGCCTTGCAAAGAATCCTTCTGCAACGGGCCTCCTCCTCCTGGTATACGCTTTTGTCTATTTGCCCAGTGCCCATTTCCTATGGAGGTTCCTCTTGCATCTAATCCCTCTTACCACCTCCTTTCGCATCCATGGCAGCGCTCTCCTCCGCCTCCCTACCATGGATGTGAAAGGAGATGGTAAGAGGGATTGGATGCCTTGCCTCTCCTGCTAGAATAGCTTTGCAGACCTCAGAATTGGTTGAATACAAGTGTGGCGCCACAACAAAACCCTTGGATCATTTGCCCAACTTCCAACATGAATGCTCATGTGCAGGATTCTAGCCTGTACAAGAAAAGGAGCCTTGGTCAGGACTTGTGATGGCAATCGGGAGATTTGGGTGGTGGGAGAAAACAGAGTGCTTGCTTTCTTTTTCCCCACCCTCCTGAAAGCATATTCTTCTCTGTTATAAAGCACTAACAGGATTATCCTAAACATGTCTACCCAGAAATAAGTCCCACTTCTGCGTGTTCCAAGGGACTTCCCCTGTTAGTAAACAAATACAGGATGGCAGCTTAAAGGATGGAGAACTTTATTTCTATTTGCAAGGAAAATTAGTTTCTGGAGAGAAGGAAAAAGGTGCTCCTTTTTCTTACCCACATCTATAGCGTGAACATTCAAACTGTATGGTATGCATCACTGCTTGATCTAGCTTTCTCTGCCCCAGGATACTGGAAGCTTTCAGGAGCTTGACAAGTTCAGTTTCCTCTCTCCAACAGACCCCTTCAAGTTTCCCATCACTCAACTGCCCAATAAGTTCTGTAGTCCAGTAACCTTTGCTTCGCCATCCTGTGTGTGTGCTTGTCTTTTAATTTTCTTCTCCATACTCAGGAGTCCCTCTAAGCATGAAGAAAGCAATGCCTTATTTTTGGGTGGTCATGGCTCCTTTCTAGTTCCAAACTGATGGGTGCTGGACAACCCAAGTATAGTACTGGAGTGAAAAAATACCCTTTATGTCAGTTCCTCTGGGAAATGAAAGAAAAGCCACAACCAAAACCTCCCCTCTCACAAACTGCAGAGGTACAGGAGCTACCATTGGTCAGTTTTAACTCAAAGGGGCTCTGCATATGTTCACAACTATACACCATGTCCCACAAATAAGGTACACTTCATGGATGCTACACAATATTAGCCCTTGAATCAGATGAAACAGTCTCTGCAGCTTAGGATGGCATGAACTTCACAAAACGAGAAGGCCATGCAAGTTGCTCCCTGCTTCCTACAGCAGCAGGCTCTCAAAAGTGTCACTTCTCCCTGGGGCCACAAGTACTCTTTGTGGCAAGTATACCAGGAGGAAAGCAAGCAAGAGTTTTACAGCCGATTGCCTCAGCAAAGAGCCAAGCTTCTGGCCAGCACTCAAATACATTATGTGCAACACTGTGCCCTCTGAACAGAGCCCGCCAGTACAGCCGCCCCAGCCCCAGCCTTGCCCTGGTGATAATGCTTATCAGTGAGGCAGCAAGCACCTCCATAGTCATTATCAGGCACACAGCTTGCAGAAAGAAACCGGAGCTCAACCAAGCACCTGCTGATGTTGGATGAGATCCAGGGCATGAGTGGGGAAGGGAACCTTCAGAGACCCTTCTGCCCAGGGAGAAGGGATAGGACTCCCTCTTTTGCAAACAGCTCTGCGGTTTCACCATCCTGGCCCTATGCAGCTACTCTTGGTCAGTTCATGCTGCCACCTGCAAAGCACGGACTCACACACACAGCTTATGTCCAATTGTGCAGGTGTCAAGCATTGCCTTAGAATGATGGATTTGAAGCACGCCTGTGGAAGCAAACAGCTGCCCTTGTGGGTCACAGAGAGCACAACGAGCAATTTCAACCCCTTAGCTGCTGTCCCCATACCAGCACACAGCCCTGACTACGGAGGGCCTTGATTTCTTAACAAGCTTTCTGGGACAGAACAGGGTTGCTGCTGGCAGAGAAAGAGCAGAAGCAGCACCAATACTCCTTCATGTGCAAATGGATCCAAGCTAATGTGAGTACAATGAGGAATGAAGTTACTCAGGCCATTATAGCACTGAAGAAAAATGGTGCTTGAAATGCTTTCCCACCACATCTGGACAGAGGCTACAGGAGCAGCTCTGTATATTCGGAACTGTTTACAAAGCAAACGGACATCAAGGACATTAGCCTTAAGTGTCAAGCGTTCAGGTAGGGGGAAATAAGAGGCATCATGTTTGCTCAGCTGATATATTGAAACATGTATGTTGTCATGTACCCTGTCTGTCCCTCTATGTTACTGTGGTGCTTGGACTGGCATTTGAACTCCGATCTTCCGGGCCAAAGTCCAACACTCTTGGCGCTGCAGCACAGAGCGAGCTTGACAACACTCCATGAATCCCTGCCAGGATTAAGCAGCCAATCCTGCCAATACCACTTTACAGCCAGGGTAAATAGGCAAGGTCCTAAATTTTCTAAGGGGCAGTTGACTCTACAAAATCAGAACACTTAAAATAATAATGCCTCAGCAAACAGCCCTTAAAAGGTTGGCTCAAAGGCAGATTGCAATCCACTAGCAGATCTCTGGGTGATTTCCATAGATCAGTCAGGGCTCCAACTCCCAAAGACCTTCTCCCCTCCTAAATAATGCTTCTGAAATCAAGAATGCTTGGCGGGGAAACCAGAGTGGATTTATGTATGAACGGACTGAGTGCATGGTCCAGTGCTGGTCCTGACAACAAAACCCTGGTTGCTGAGCATGTGTTCAGTCCCACTTCTTCTTGGACTTACCCAACTCAACTACAAGAAGGCCCATCAAACTCTTATTGTGAACAGCTGCAGCCAGTGTGGAATATATATATTTTTGAAACTTGTAATGACGTGGCAACTGATGCAGTTGATGGTCTCTCGCCCTCCCCCAAACAAACTGGAATTTTGATCATCCAACATGTACTCCAGACTCCATCAGCACAGGCCGCATGAGCAGTGTACACAGATTAAACCTCTTTTATTACCTCTCCTGCCAGGGAAGCAGATTTACAAGAGAAAATAACATGAGAAAATCTGCAACAGTGATTTCTTACCAAATTAGAAATGTGTCATGCATCAGACCACAGCAGTGAGCTAGAGCTCATGCTGTGCAGGCACAAAGGAAAAGATTCAGTCCCCACAATGATGCCCTTCCTTCACTTCCATTTTCCCCAATAACGCTTGTGTGGAGCCGCCTCACTGAAATGTGCCCTGTATTAAAGTATGCTGGTGGCAGCTTTGCAGCCAATCCTTTCCCCTTTGCCTGGAGTCTGTAAGTACCAGATATTTAGGGTTAAATATGAGGAGTAACTCCTTCATGGATCACTGCCTTGTCATGGTGAAGGGGCTTGCATAACTCAATTAAGCTATGAGCTATGCCGTGCAGGGCCACCCAAGACGGACAGGTCATAACAGAGAGCTCCGACAAAACGTGATCCACTGAAGAAGGAAATGGCAACCCACTCTTTGCCATCTTTGCCATGAAAACCCCATGGACAGTACCAAAAGGCAAAAAGATATGATGCCGGAAGATGAGCCCCTCAGGTCCATTATGCTACTGGGGAAGAGCAGAGGGCTAGTACTGGTAGCTCCAGAAAGAATGAAGCGACTGGGTCAAAGCCGAAAGGACACTCAGTTGTGGATGTATCTGGTGGTGAAAGGAGAGTCTGATGCTGCAAAGATCTATACTCCATAGGAACCTGGAATGTAAGATCAATGAATCAAGGCAAGCTGGATGTGGTCAAACAAGAGATGACAAGACTGAACATCGACATCTTAGGAATCAGTGAACTAAAATGGACAGGAATGGGTGAATTTAATTCAGATGACTATCAGGTATAGTACTGCGGAAAAGAATCCCTCAGAAGAAATGGAATAGCCTTCATAGTCAATAAACAAGTAGGAAAAGCAGTACTGGGATACAATCTCCAAAATGACAGAATGATCTCAGTTCGAATCCACGGTAAACCATTCAACATCACAATAGCTGAAGTCTATGCCCCAACCACTAGTGCTGAAGAGGCTGAAGTTGACCAGTTCTATGAAGACCTACAACAACTTCTAGAATTAACACCAAAAAATGATGTCCTTGTCATCATGGGGGATTGGAATGCTAAAGTAGGAAGCCAAAAGATAACTGGAAAAACAGGCAAGTTTGGCCTTGGATTTCAAAATGAAGCAGGGCACAGGCTGGTAGAATTTTGTCAAGAGAATATGATGGTCATAGCAAACACTGTTTTCCAACAACCCCAGAGACGACTCTACTCATGGACATCACCAGATGGTCAACACAGAAATCAGATTGACTATGCGCTCTGCAGCCAAAGATAGAGGAGCTCTATACAGTCAGTAAAAATAAGACCAAGAGCTGACTGTGGCTCAGATCATGAGCTTCTCGTTGCAAAATTTAGGCTTAAATTGGAGAAAGTAGGGAAAAGCACTAGGCCACTCAGGTATGACATAATTCATATACCTGATGAATATACAATAGGGGTGACAATTAGATGTAAGGAATTAGATCTGATAGCCAGAGTGCCTGAAGAACTATGGATGGAGGTTCGCAACATTGTACAAGAGGTAGCAACTAAAACCATCCCAAAGAAAAGAAATGCAAGAAAGAAAAATGACTGACTGAGGAAGCATTACAAATAGCTGAGGAAAGAAGGGAAGTAAAAGGCAAGGGAGAAGGAGAAAGATACACCCAATTGAATGCAGAATTCCTTAAAATAGCTAGAAGAGAGAAGAATGCCTTCCTAAATGAACAGGGCAAAGAAATAGAAGAAAACAATAGAATAGGGAGGACCAGAGATCTCTTCAAGAAAATTGGAGATATGAAGGGAACGTTTCATGCAAAGATGGGCATGATAAAGGCCCAAAATGGCAGGGACCTAACAGAGGTAGAAGAGATTAAGAAGAGGTGGCAAGATTACACAGAAGAACTATACAAGAAAGAGCTTAACGTCCCTGATAACCATGACGGGGTGGTCACTGACCTCGAGCCAGACATCCTGGAATGTGAAGTCAAAATAGCTTAGGAAGTCTTAGCAACAACAAAGCTAGTGGAGGTAACAGCATTCCAGGTCAGCTATTCAAAAGCCTAAAGACGATGCAATAAAAGTGCTACACTCAATATGCCAGCAAATTTGGAAAACTCAACAGTGGCCACAGGATTGGAAAAGGTCAGTTTACATTCCAATCCCAAAGAAGGGCAATGCCAAACAATGTCCAAACTACTGCACCATTGCACTCATTTCACATGCTAGCAAAGTGATGTTCAAAATCCTACAAGCTAGGCTCCAGCAGTATGTGGACCGAGAACTACCTAGACTTCTGTAACGCGCTTTACGTGGGGCTTCCCCTGAAGACAGTCCGAACACTTCAATTGGTGCAAAACAGAGCTGCCAGGTTGCTGACGGGGACGGGGCGTTATGCTCACATGACTCCAGTCCTCCATCAGCTTCACTGGCTTCCCATTGAAGCCCGGGCCCAATTCAAGGTGTTGATTATGACCTATAAAGCCCTAAACGGCTTGGGTCCTGGCTACCTGAACGAGCGCTTACGTCCGTATATGCCCGACCGCCCTTTGAGATCTGCGGGAGAGTCCCTTCTCCGGGAACCCTCCATGAAAGAAATTAGGAGAGTAAGTACCCGGAGGAGGGCTTTCTCTGCGGTGGCGCCCAACCTATAGAATTCACTCCCCAAAGAGGTCCGCCTGGCACCGTCGTTACTGGTTTTTCGGCGCCAGGTAAAGACCTTTTTATTTAAACATCATTTCAATTGTTAAAACATATGATCTGGCCTGGGCAACTTCTTCTTCCTTCTCTTTCTCCTCCTATATTTTTAATTTGTACTGATAATTTTAATTTTATATTTGTAAATCAATGTATTTTTTGTATTTTTGTATTTAATAGTAATTTATTATGTACTATTGTATTTCAATGTATTTTATCATGTTGTAAGCCGCCCCGAGGTTTCGGCAAGGGGCGGCATAGAAATGTAATAATAATAATAATAATAATAATAATAATAATAATAATGATGATGATGATGATGATGATGATGATGATGATAACTACCAGAAGTACAGGCAGGATTTCGAAGAGGAAGAGGAATTAGAGATCAAATTGCCAACATACCCTGGATCATGGAGAAAGCTAGGGAGTTGCAGAAAAAATCTGCTTCTGCTTCACTGACTATGCTAAAGCCTTTGATTGTGTGGATCACAACAAATTGTGGCATGTTCTTAAAGAGATGGGAGTACCTGAACATCTTATTTGTCTCATGAGAAACCTATATGTAGGTCAAGAAGCAACAGTGAGAACTGGACATGGAACCACAGATTGGTTCAAAATTGAGAAAGGAGTTCGGCAAGGCTGTATACTGTCGCCCTGCCTATTTAACTTATATGCAGAACACATCATGAGAAAGGCGGGGCTAGATGAATCACCAGTTGGAATTAAGATTGCTGGGAGAAATATCAACAACCTCAGATATGCAGATGATACCGCTCTCATGGCAGAAAGTGAAGAGGAACTAAAGAGCCTCCTGATGTGGGTGAAAGAGAGTGCAAAAGTTGGCCTGAAACTCAACATTAAGTAAACTAAGATCATGGCATCTGGTCGTCTCACTTCCTGGCAAATAGATGGGGAAGAAATGGAAGTAGTGACAGATTTTATTTTCCAGGACTCCAAGATCACTGCAGATGGGGAATGCAGCCGAGAAATTAAAAGACACTCGCTCCTGGGGAGGAGAGCTATGGCAAATCTAGACAGCATACTAAAAAGCAGAGACATCACCCTGCTAACAAAAGTGCGTATAGTCAAGGCTATGGTTTTGCCAGTTGCAATGTATGGCTGTGAAAGCGGGATCATAAGGAAGGCTGAGCGCCAAAGGATTGAGGCCCTTGAATTGTGGTGCTGGAGGAGACTCCTGCGAGTCCCTTGGTCAGTCCTACAGGAGATCAACCCTGACTGCTCTTTAGAAGGCCAGATACTGAAGATGAAATGCACATACTTTGGTCACCTAATGAGAAGGAAGGACTCCCTGGAGAAGAACCTAATGCTGCGCACAATAGTTGGCAAAAGAAGAAGGGGATGGCAGAGAATGAGGTGGCTAGATGGAGTCACTGAAGCAGTTGGTGTGAGCTTGAATGGACTCCGGGGGTTGGTGGAAGACAGGAAGACCTGGAGGAATGTTGTCCATGGGGTCGCGATGGGTCAGACACAACTTTGCGACTAACAACAACTTGAGAAGTAAAACCAACCAAAGACAAAAACATGTGGCCATTTCTGTGCCACTGGCTTTTGGGCTGCTGGGATCTCAATACCAATCATCTTCAGGACACTCTTGGGGAAGGATGACAGTGCAAATATTTTTTTTTTTAAATTCTCTGAAAAAAGCACGGGGGGTGGGCAAACAGGGAGTTGGGTCCACCTCCCTCTCAGCTCAGCAGTTCTTTACAGCTCCCTTGAGACACCTGGGTCATGCTTCAAAAATCATTTCCCTCAAATCATGGAAGTGCCTTTTAAAAGTTGCCATTAAAACCCGCAAGTGAGGAATTTATTCTCTTGGGGAACAATCCTATGCATGCTTAGGTAGAAAAGAAAAATCGTGCAACTCCCAGCATTCTCCAATCAGTCATTTCTTCCCAGTCTTTAAATCATTCCATGAAACAATGTGTTTTTCCAGGCAATTAACACCACTAGAAAGGTACACTCTGCATTCATTTCTGGAGGAGCATTTATCCTCTAGGATATATGGTTGCGACAGCCAAAGAGATTCGACATTCTGTAACCAAGTTTTGCTCTTTATCAAGAAAAGTTGTTTGCCCAATCAAAATGAAAACTAACACAAAGTGCAAAAAGAAAGGAATTTCAAAAGCAGGTAGTGCTAACATTGTTCACATTGTAAAGAAAGGTTTTTTTGTTTGTTTTTGTTTTTTTGCTGCTGCTCAAACAGTTGTCCAGAAGTCGGTGACATAAAAATTATCCAGTTAAGGACCACCAAACTAAGAGTCTGGTACAGTGCTGTGCACATCTCCATCACCATTCCCTGAAGTTGGGCTACTGTCATTTTCACCCATGAGCGGAAGTGGAGAAATCCTCATGTCACCCTTTGAATCAAATCTCACCTGCCATTCTTGACCTTCAGTTCCCAGCTGAGAGAGAGAGACTCTAATCAACTTGGCAACAACACCACTATCGGAGCTGGCACTCTTCCCTGAATCCAGATACAGCTGTAACCGAGCTGGGAAGTAGCGCTCAATCACTGAGAGATGCTCTGCTTGTTCCCCAGTTTCTCCAGGGAACCTCATGGAGACAATGAGCTGGCAACGGGTAGAATCCTGGGTGAGCTTCTGGCTGAAATGATTTGCTGTGTCCAGCAGCAAGGCCACCAGCTGAGCCGCCACACCTGGACCAGAACAGGTGGCCAAGAATTCCTCCAAGCCATCCAATACTATCAGGGAGAGGCTGCGGGACCAAGTATGATGCAGGGAAGCCACCAGCTGAAGCAGCTCTTGGAAGGATGCTGGGTAAAGGAAGTGGATTCTCTAGGGAGGGAATAAGAAAAAGCATTTGTGATGTAGGGTAGTAGGTGTGAATAACCCATACTGCAGTGAGGAAGTTTCCCATTAATCATGGTGGATACTGGAGAACTGATAACTCTCTATCACAACTTATCACACAGTATCAGAGAGAGTTCATGTGTCACATTTATCACACGATAAAACGGTCATAGCCAACATTTAACTACCTCAAAATATGGAACACTAATCATGGGCAATTTTCACCACCCAAGAAAGTGGGAAACAAACTACCTGAGGATCCAACAAAACCACACTTTTGCAGTCACAAACGGATTTCCACCTCTACCCCATTCCATAGCTGGTGTGTGCTAGTATTTCCAGTTATGCTCATAAGGGTAACAGATGTCCAATGAAATCCAGCACAGTATTCCATATGCCAAACATACATATCTTCCACCACTGGAATTTACTAGCGTGAAGGAGATTTGAAAATTCTAGCCCAGGAAACCATTTTTTGGTAATGGAAGTCAAACATTTTGCAGCAAAGGCAGTATGTTTAAGCCCTTAAAATATTTGTGTGAAATGCACAGACACTTGAAATTATTTTCCAATCCAGTTATTGGTAACCCTAGGGCTTCATTTAAAGATAGCTCATTCCTGGAACACACAAGAGGCCAAAAAAAAAAAAGTTAAAAATGGGAACATTTACACAGGGTTTTCTCCTGAATAGTAATCAGAGCCTGGTTCACTATAGCTGGGATTTTAAGACTTCCAGGCAGTACTGACCATTTGCTTCTTAAAAATGAATCACACCAGCCACACCAGCCACCAGCCTTGCCTAGTTAGAACTAGCCACACTAACACTCCTGGCAGCAATTGCCAAGGCCAGTTCACCCATAAAGGTTCAGACCATGGTTCTTAAGGGGCCAAAACTGCAGGACAGCCTACTTCCAAAATGGAAGCAAGTTCCTTGCAGAGCTTCTACCCACAATTCTTGGAGCAGGAACAGAGGAATAACTTAGCTTATTACCAGTACCTGCCCTACTATCCAGGGGGCATGACCAAGAGCCTTCTGATTTCCACCAGGGTCTGCAAGGCTCATGGGAGCAGGAGGGAGCCTGGAAGCAGAAAGGGCCCCCCACAGCCTGGCTCTGGTGATGCAACCCAGATCTGAGCCTGTGGAGCAGCAGAGGAGGAACCAGTGGTGAAAGTGCTTATCAAAACACAGCAAAAAGAGACTAGGCTGGTTTCCTATGGGGAATGAAATGATGAAACTAAAACACCCTTAAAACCTTTCCCAAGCTAGCATCCTCCAGATGCTTGGCCTACCACTCCCAGGTTTCTTGACCACTGGCCATGCAGGCTGGAACTGATGGGAGTCGAACTCCAAGTTATCAGGCGAACACTAAGCTGCCAGAAGTCTGCTCTGACTCTGCCAGAGGCTCCGGCACAGCTGCATCAGGGAGAAAGGTATGGGTCAAGCATTTTTTCAAGAGTACCCCAGCCATCTTCGAGTCCCCTCATGTGCTCTTGTTGTGATACTAAGCACCTCATAAGACACAGGGGGGCTACTGCTGATTTGCATAGGAAGCAAAACGCCCTGCGCCGGCTTTTTCCACTTCCTTGACGAGGTTTGCAAATAACCATGCCCAGCCCACACGCTCGCACCTGGAACGCTCCGGCTCTAGCTACTATCCCGCCCGGCAGGCGCTGCAAGGGTTGAGGCGCTAAGAAGAGGACGCGGGCTGGGGAAGCGGCAACGACAAACGCTGCGCGGAACAGCAGCGACGAACGACCCGAGCCCGCAGGCCCGAGGAGCAGCACTGGTTCGGCACCCAAAAGCACCGACTCCAGCTTCGCCACCGACATGACCAGACCAGGCAATCCGCTGGAAGCCTGCGCTGCGCAGCTACCAATCAAAAGCCTCGGTCACCGCGAGGCAGCCAATCGGCAGTGCAGCAGATTCATCTCTTTTCGGGTGGATCGTAAATACGACAGCAACGGGCGTTTCAGCGAACCAATGAGAAGCTGCCACCGTCGATGAGCGACCAATCGGCACCGAGCAATGCATTCGTTTCCCGGACTGGTATTTAATCAGGGAGAAAAGCCCGGGCTTGACGTGGGTGTTCTTGTTAATCATGCTAACCAAAGGCAAGGGAGTAGATTTGCATAGAGGGCGTTTAAAGCTTGCCCTGTGGCTTAACACTCGGGAAGGGGACTTCAGGGAAGCGTAGAATTCGTGGTAAACAGAACGGCCATTTTAACGTTGCTATTAATCATATGTGTTAGATGCCAAGGCGGTGCCTTGTCGCGGTTCAGGTAATAGCACATATAATGCTCTCTTAGACGATGCGAAGCTCGAGATCTGATGAGCCTCCAAAGTCAAGGGGCAGTCCGAGAGCTTCCTGGTGGCCTGGATTGTTGTCGACTTTGTCATGATTAATATCTTGGAAAATAAAAGAAAAGAACAAAAAATGATCAAAGCAAGTATCAACATGACTTCCAACAGCCACTTTTACCTGGGCTGTGGGTGGGGAGTGAGGAAGAGTTCAGTATTCCTGGAATGGTTCCTGCCCTGCAGGGTCATTAAATGGAACAGAAAGTCTCGATACAGACACACACTCTGCATGAAACAGCGCCATCATTTGTTTTTGAATGATAGCACTTGCCAATGCTGCTCCCTAGCACTCTCTCCACTCTTCATTGCATATGTGTGGGCAGGCCTCACATTTTGGGAGCGGGGGGGGGGGCGGGGAATTAGCACCAGGGGATGTGATTTCAAATAGACTTGAGATTTGAGGCCCAATATATCAATTCCTCTAAGGATATGCACTGGACTACTGGAGGCCTATAATTAGATGTAGATTTTAATGTTCAGTTTGAAGATGAAAATTTACTGCTCCTGGCTCTTCAGCGACAACTGTACAATGCTTATTTCTTTGATCATGGTGGCTAAATGGTAAACTTTCCTTAAGAGAAAGTTTTGGGGCTTGGAGAAACAGGTACAGCATACATGCAGTGCCAGCTTCTGAGGTCTGTCCTTCCACCTGCTTGGAAGAGCAGTGCTTTTTTTGTAAAAAAAAAAAAAAAAAAGTGCCGGAACTCACATCTTGGGGTCACACTTTTACACTAAAAAAGATTTTTAGTGTAAAGCCAGTCACTCTACACATACATAAACATAATGGTTGCCGCTGGCAGTAAGCACTCACTATCAGCACGGACACAAAAGCAGCCCCAGGCACTATGTTAATGAAAGGCGATCACTTCGTAAAATCCACTGGAAAAAAAGGTGCCGGAAAGCCCTTTCAGTGCGTTCTATAACAAAAAAAGCCCTGTGGAAGAGTATGCCCAAGCAGAAATGGTGAGAGCCAGGGAACAATGGAACAAAAAAAGTATCTCCTGGTCTTCTCCTGGCAGAATTCATTACCGAAATGGTATGCTAGTAGAGCATGCTTGATAAAGCCACCTAAAGGCCCAGGGAAGGGAGAACCCTGTAAGTGGCTGCTATGGTTTTGCCCTATGTAGTAGAGCAGGTCTCACAGGGCTGAAGCCCAGAAACTTTATGATTAGCGAAAAGTGGGATGACATTTGCCATCCCCTTTAAACTTCTCTATTCCCTCTGAGCACAGCTGTAATCCTCACAGTAGCTGCCAGAACAAGAATGGGTTTTTCTGACAAAAACATGAAATGGGAACTGCTAGAACCAGCTCCTTGACTTTGAATTAATGTTTCTCTCTGGTGCTGGAGAAAGAAACCCCTGGGAAAATACTGACCGGGACAGAGGTGTATAGACAGATTTAGAACAGCACAGTTGCCCACATTCTTGGATTTTCCTAATGGTGTCCCTATAGGGCCTGTCAAAGTGAATACATGCACAGCAAGATGTGCCATAACGTTGTTGTGCTGATATTGCAGAGCCTGCATAAGGCCATGCGGTTATCTGCTTCCTTTCTAAGATCCACACTACTGCGCTGGCACAAATGAAGGCCAGAAAGACAAACCTGGAGAGGCTGTCAGGGCTGCTAGTTCAGGCACATCTGTGCTAGCTCCAGGGTCTGTCGCTGCACTCCTCCTTGCTTGGGGGCTTCCTGTGGAAGGGCTGCTCCAGCCCTTTCAGTGAGGCTGTCTGAAGTAGCTTTCACCTGCAACACGTTGCCAAGGAAATGGCTGACTGGAATCTGACTTTGCCCATGCTGAGGAACTACAGACTATGCGAGCTCTCATTCTATCTTTGCTGTTCTTGTTCCTGCTGTGCACTGGATCTCTTGCCCTTCCCAAGGTGGAAACCACCTTGGCTTTGGATAATGCTGTTCTCAACAAATCCATGCACCCTGCTACTCAGCTGCTTTTCCCATGGTTTAAATACACACAAGAATTAACAAATTGGTCTCAGCTGCCTTTGTACACGCAAAAATAACCTCGTTTGTGCTGTATGTGGAGCTGCCTTTGAAAACAGTCCAGAAACTTCAACTGATCCAAAAACAGGGTAGCAAGACTATTAATGTGGTCTGATAATGACAGTCCTCATCCAGTTACACCGGCTGTTGATCAAAGGCTGGGCATGCACATGGTAGGTATTTCATAAGCGGAGCCGGCTGAAGGCAGGGGTCAGACTAGATGGCCTGGGAGGTCCCTTCTAACTGGCTCTGTTTCTATGTATCTAAGTCGGGGCCCAATTCAGACTAAGCACTAACATTCAAAGCCCTAATGACCTGAGGCCACTATATTTGAAGGATCGTCTCTTCCCATATGTACCTACCTCGTCCCTGAGGTCATCTTTGGGGGTTCTTCTCCAGGTGCTCATTCCAAAGGAAGTGGGGCAGGCTTTTTCAGTTGTGGCACTCTGGTTTTGGAATGAGCTCCCTGGTGTCTATTTGTTTGTTGTTTAGCACCAGAACTTTTTATTTCCCCAGCATTTTAACAATCTTAACTTTTAAAGTTTGTTTTTATATATCCCATTTTATTTCTGTATCCCCGTTGTGCTTCTGTAGCAACTGCAATTACAGTTTTGTTGTGTGTGCCTTTGACCTTTGTTTTAGCTTTTTTAGCTGCCCAGAAAGCCCCAGCTATTGGGTACTATACAAATGAAATAAATAAATAAACAAGCAAGCAAGCCCTGCTAGACCAGGGCAAGGTGCTTTTAATCTAGCATACTACTTCCCATCATGGCCATGAGCACAAGAGCCTTCATCAGATCATTCAAGAGGTAAGTTGACCCTGAATTAGGAGGCAGCATCTAGCTATAATGACTAGTGGTGCTTGGCAGCCTTATTCTCCCTGAATTTGTTTAATCCCATTTTTATCCCTCCAAATGGGTGGTCATCAATACAGTCTTGCAGAAGTGAATTCCACAGTTTAACTATGTGCTGTGTGAAGAAGCACTTCCTTTCATCTTTCCCACCAATCAGCTTCTTTGAATAATTCCAAGTTCTAGTATTATGAGAGGAGGAAGGGAAAAAAATCTGCTTTCTTCAAACCATGCAAAAGTGTATGCACCTGTTGCATTTCCCTTACTTCCTTTTCCCTAAAGACCTCCCAAGTGTTGCAATTTTCCTTTATAGGGGAGTGTTTGCACACACACAGCTCCAGTATGAAATTCTTTGAGGTTCCTTACCATGCCTCCCCGGACAAGCACATTGTAGTACTCTGCAGATCTATTGTTCACCTGCCTTCCCTCTCACTCTTGGTTTCAAAGGCTATTTGGAGACATGAGGGGCAGGCACCAAGGGAGTTAATTAAAATATTTAGTAACTACTAAATACTGGGCCATTTCAGCAGGCTTGTGCCATCATCTGTCCTTTGCTTGGCAGTGCTGAGGCGTGGAGATGTATGCAAACCCACACCATCTGTTGTGCACTAAGGGAGTGTACAAGAATACAGGGTTGCAAGGAAATTAGGATTGCAATTCCTCCACTCAGGACAGAGTTGGAGCTGGAATCTTCTTCATGCTTGATTGGCAGGAAGATGGGGAACAACTAGGACTTCTGACTTTGGGGTAAGATGATGCTCGTCCTGCATCCTAGAAACAGTGTCTCAGTTCCAAACTGCCAGCTGCTACAATCATGTGATATGCATGGTACTGTTCTAAAGGGTAAGCAATTCCCCATTGTAGTTTGATTTACCATCCAGCTTTCTGTAGACATAAGCTTGGGGTACATGCAGCAGCGGACAAGAGGGTTGTAGAAAGAGACCAAACAAAAAGAGACAGCTGCAGAGTTAGGGGTATTCTTAACACATATGAGAAATGCAACCACATTATCACAAGATCTGTTGAAAATACAGTACAAGATTAAATGTAAGTATAGCATTACAAATGTGCAACACCCAAATTACTAAATTTTATCTAATAATTCTATAAAACCTAATCATAACACAAGAATTAAGCATGTTATCCTCCACTGAAGTTGTAGTAGTGAAATTAGCCATGCTTATTTCCATATTATTATTGTTATTTTTTATTCTATTTCCATACCACCCTATAGGCAATGCTCTCCAGGCAGTTTACAACAAGGTATAAAGCAAAACAGCAAAAAAGCAACACAATACAAATAACATAAAATATCAATGTTAAAAGAGTTAGAATTAATTCAAACTACAATACAAAGACCTGGCAAGAAGAATTACAGAATAATCCTGTTAGGCTCCTGGACAGTCAAGGAGATCTTTAAAGAGGGCAATTTTGACCTGGCACCAAAAGGATGGCTGTCCTCTAGACCAAGAGAGTCCAGACTTGCTCAACAGAAAAGCCACATGTGATAAATATCAGAAGTTTGAGAGCTGCAAGTGAGATCTCCACAGGTGGTAGCTGTGAGTGGCAAGCAGGCGCCAAGCCATGAGCCGCAAGAGAAACTCAGAGAGTCACATGTGGC